ATTTAATTTTGCCTACTTTTTCCTCCAGAAGTATCCATATTTGCCTTTTAAAAAAGACACGTTTGTAAATGATTAAAGAGTGACTTGCCCCTGTGGAAATTGATTTTTACAGTATTTCCCCAATATTTCTGAAATGACCGCTTTGTATTTAACTGCTTTAATCACGGCAATTATAATCGTGTAGCGTCTATCTAAATATTTAATGAAATGGCAAGTTTTAAGGTTGACTGGTCTGTAATTTTGATCATTGAAATCTGAGTTAAAGTAGCAAACCTTGGCAAAAGCCCAATGTTTACTTATCATCCTAACAGTACATAATGTGAATATTCAGTGCCCCAAAATGGCTAAGAATACACCAGAGAACACGTAGATCCTTTTGGCTTCCGGGATCCTACTACCCGCTTTTATAGACTGGGACCCAGGATCAACTAAAAGCTTCATTTCCTATTCTCATACCTGTAATAATCAATGATGTGAAAACTGAAGTTGGCAGCTTTCCAAGATACGGTAGTTCAGTTATCTACCAGGTTAGCGGGATCATGGGTTCGAATTCCATCTGATCTTAATATGCTCTTATTCACAGAAAAAAACAAATATCACAGGACGACTTTCTCTTTTTGCTTTTCTATACTTAAAGCCGTATTATTAGAGCTCTGATAAACTACTCAGCAGCTTCAAACATTTTGCATGCAAGACATCGCTCTCTTATTATATCACGTATGAATTCAGCAATAATTAACACAAGTTAATAAAAAACTAAAGGCTGCATATTTCGTTGATATACTTTAACATCACCGAAGCAGAAAGCCATGATGTGTATTGATTTTCCGAGGTCCTTTTTTGCTGATGAAATCAAAACGAAATCGGTCGCAAACAAAATGCTACTTTTGTTACTCAGAAAAAAATTGGTTCTTTTTAGATAAAACAAAACAAACAACAAATAAATGCGAGGAGCTTGATAAAACTAAAACGATTAACTCATGCAGATAAATTTAGGTGAAAATCCAACATGTTCTACCTGATGATTTATAGTGCAGTGGTCGATATAATGAATAAATAAATAACAGGTCCCAACATTTTGTTCACCCCGGTGGGGTATCGGTAAGTCTTCGGATCTACAATGCTAAAATTAGGGGTTCGATTCCTCTCAGTGGACACAGCAGATAGCCTGATGTGGCTTTGCTATACATATACACACACACAAAGCTGAACAAAAAATGCGGCCTGAATATTTTTGGCCCAGCATGGCCAGTTGGTTAGAGCGCTTGACTCGAAGTCTAAGGGTCACGAACCCCCGTCTCACCAAACATGGTCACCTTTTCAGCCCTGGGGGCATTATAAGTTATGGTCAACCCCACTATTCGTTGGTAAAAGAGTAGCCCAAGAGTTGGCAGTGGGTGTTGATGACTAGCTGCCTTCCCATTAGTCTTTCACTAATAAATTAGGGACGGCTAGCGCAGATAGCCATCGTGTAGCTTTTCGCGAAATTAAAAAATAAACAAACTCGACATTTTGAGAAGCGAGTAGTTAAGAACTAGTATAACGAAGTTGTCCAAGTTTCATTACCATTTCATACCTATTCAAATGTGCCTAGTTTTAAAGCTAAGACCAGTTGTACCCACAAAGTTCGACTTCGTCTTGTTTTATGTGTCGTTTAATTATTCAAAGTGCATCAATGTTAGTCAAGGGACCGAAGGGTATTTACATAGTCTGATCACGTGCGATTGGCATGATAAAAAGGATTTAGATGGTAATATTTTATTTAAACTTCTTTTTTATTCGCATATATATATATATATATATATATATATATATATATATATATATATACTACTATACAATACTAATACTACTGTAGTGTAGTAGTAGTACACAACTAACTATTATTACTAATAAGTAAG